GAGGCAGCTCGAGGCTTCCGATCCCCACCGTTTCGCGGGTCCTGACATGTAGGCAACTCAAAAAAGCATATTTCTTGCCTGACTGCATATTTAGGAATTTGTCATTTTCCAACAAACGCATAAAAAATTAAAATTTACTAAAAAGAGAGAAAAAATCTCGGAAATTGTGTCATTCCAGCATTATTTGTAAATCACCGTTATGGAATTAAACATCAACCACGTTCGAATTTTATTTCCCCCAAGTCCCCCCTCCCCTATCAGTACGCCAGTGCCCCCCCCCCCCCCGATCTACACTTTGTTTGCGGGAAAAATCGCAACTGATCTCCCCTGCCTTTCTCTTTTTTCCCCCTTTTCTCCTCTTTCCCTTCCCTTCCCTCTCTCGCTTTGAGGTTTGCTGGGGGGTATGGGGGAGGGGGGTAGGGGAGGCAAGGGCTTTTCGGCCCCCACCCCGATCCACACGTTGTCTGGGGGGGGGGGGTCTTCCTCTGTTTTGTTCCCTTTTTGCTCTCCTCTTTCCTTTTTTCCTTCCTTCCTTCTCTCTTTTTTTAGCCGTGGCGGGGGGAGGCAATAAGGGCCCTTTGCCCCCTCTCCGATTCACAACTTGTTGGTGGGAAAATTAAGTGCACAACGTACTTCTTTCAGAAAAACCCTTTTCACAATAGGAGCATTGATAAGGCTTTTCTCCACTGTGTGTTCTTAAATTTCTTATAAGGTTACTTCCGTGAGAAAAACCCTTATCACACTGGGAACATTTGAAAGTTTTCTCTCCAGTTTGTGTTCTAAGGTGGCTAGTACGCTCATTGTCGACCTGGTGTGTTTTCTGATGTAGTATAAGAGTGTTCTCATCTGTAAATGTCTTACTGAAATGTAAACACAGATGGGTCTTCTCTCCACTGCATGCTGTTAAATGTGGGTGTATATTGTCTTGTCCGTTGTCCAACTCTAGGGAGGAAAAGAAAGTAATTACATCCCTATCGAACAGAAGGTCAAGTTCTAGTATTAAAGTGTCGAAATCAAAATCACTGTAGAGTAAAGAAATATCACCAGGCGTATTCAGTCTGCCTAGATGCAGATTGATTAAAACCTTCAATACAGTCAACTTTGCATAATTACATCAATTTTGACAGGATACATTGAAATTTTCGATATGTGTGTAAGTCAAAGAAAATTTGACTTTTGCCCAAGTTGACTTTGACGGGACCAAGCAAAATGCATCTAATTCGATGATTTTTTATTTCTATTTAAGTCAAAATGAATTAAACCAAATCTGGTCCCAAACAGAACTCGGGAACTTGCCAGCAGTTTTTTTGATATTATAGTTTTTATCCAAACTCAGAAAATAAGAACGTTACCGTTATTTTTTTTTCACGTACACGGTATATGACTGCAGACTCCTGTTAAAACTTAGACAATAAAATTACTATCTACAAGAATATATTGCCAATAAGGAGGAAGAGAACTGCAAAATCAGTTTTTCATTATATCACAAACAAATTATTTTATGTAGCGCCCGTTGCAACAAAACTCAACTATCCCTTTATTTTAAAACCTAATTCAGCGTCAGAAAAATACAAAGTTGTGAAGGTGTTGATTTCTCGGAAAAGTATATTAGAAAACATGAAGTGAATATATAATAGTGAATTTCAAAGAAGATTTGGAAGAATTAATAAGGAAGCCAAATTCAAGCTATACACCTGATGATAAATAATGAGGCTGTTAGATTATATTGCACACCTTATAGTGCATTCCTATAAAATATATGCATGAAATTTAATTGGTAAGTCAATGGCTGAAGCATATATGCTTAGACATCACAAAATTTTTTGTTAAATCATTAAAAGGGAATTCCACCCTCATCTAAAGCTGGTTTTGCGGAAGCAGAAAAATGACAGAATCATCTCAGTGAAAGTTTGAGCAAAAAACAATCGAAAATAAGAAAGTTATGAATTTTTTAACGTGCAATCAAACATACACAAATTGGTAACTCTGTGACGTTTCTTTCAAGCTCCCCTCCCATTTACCCTGAACTAAAAAAAATTAAAAATATATATATACTTTCCCTCAAAAAAATTATCAATCTTACATTCACACTAAATGTAATTATTAACTATAGATGGAACTTTGACTGCAGGCAGTCGAAAATGACGCCTCTGTCATAGAGCAATTTTACAAACCAAAACAGAAGCAATTTTTCAAATTCAAGTTCAATTGTAATCCATTAAAAGGTTCTCAGAATATTGTGATTACCAGCAATTTCTCATATACATATATGACCCTATGATCTTTGACCAAATGACCCTAAAATCTAATCAGTTCATTGGCTTTGCAAGATATTCATGCCCTAAGTTTGATTGCAATCCATCCGTCAGTTCTAATGAGAATGCTTTGACAAGCCATTTTTGCATGCATAATGAGCCTCATGACATTTGACCTTCGACCTCATGACCCCAGAATGTACGCATTTCATTACATACATGTCTTGAGTTTGATGGTAATCCATCCATTGGTTCTAATGATAATGCAATCACAAGCTTTTTTTGCATACATAATGAGCCCTGTAACCTTTAACCTCGTAACCCAAAATCTAATTGATTCATTGGTTCTGCAAGATACATACATGACCTAAGTAGGGCAGGAATACAAAGATCAGTTCTTGAGATAATGCAATCACAAGCTATTTTTGCATACATAATGATCCCTGTGAACTTTGAACTTTGAACTTTGAGCTTGTGACCCTAAAATCTAATCAGTTCATTAGCTCTGCAAGATACAAGGATTGGCAGGAATCCATCAACCTGTTCTTAAGATAACGCGAATACGAGGACAGGACGTATGGGCAACCCAAAGACATAATGCCTTAGGATATTTCATAACTGAGGCATAAAAAACACATATGAAGAATCAGATGTGGTTTTAGATATGAATATTAATAACGTTATGGTACAAAAAAAGTTACACAAATTTTCTATTCGATCTCTGTGTAAAAGAAATATATTAAAAAACAGATAACACAAAACAGTTAGAACTAGATGGAACTTTGACTGCTCGCAGTCGAATATGATGCCTCCGCCATATAGAGCGATTTCACAAACCAAAACAGAAGCAATTTTTCAAATTCAAGTTTAATTGTAATCAAGTAACAGCTCCTCAGAATATGGTGATTGCAAGCTATTTTTCATATATATGTATGACCCTTTGAACTTTGACCTCATGACCCTAAAATCTAATCAGTTCATAGGCTCTGCAAGATACATACCCGATATATGTATAGTTTGATAGTAATCCAGCCATCAGTATTGACAATGCATTCACAAGGTAGTTTTGCATTAATAATGAGCCCCATGACCTTTGACCTCAGGACCCCAAAATCTAATCAGTTCATCGGCTCTGCAAGATACATATATGAACTAAGTTTGGCGGTAATACATCAATCGGTTCTTGAGATAACGCGATCACAAGCTATCTGTTCATACATAATGAGCCTTGTGACCGACCTCGTGACCCTAAAATCTAATCAATTCATGAGCTCTAACTGCAAGTTACATGTATACATGACCCGAATTTGGTGGTAATCCATTGCTTAAGATAATGTGATCACTAGGACGGGACGTGAGGACGGACGGACACCAGAAAACATAATGCCCCCGGCTACTTTGTAGCGGAGGCATAAAAATGGAAACTGGATCTGACTTCACAAGAACAAATTCCTGTACCACTATACCACTGCACCACCGCTTGAAATTACAATACAGTGGCAAAATCGTTTCACAATGCCACTTCTGACAACTTTAGATTCCAGATTACGAGAATTTCAGTTCAAACTCCTCCATCAAAGAATTTCTCCAAATCAATATTTGCACCGCAATGGTATAAAAAGTACACCAGTGTGCAATTTTGGTCAAACAAATATATGCAAACGTTCATTCATTTGTTCTTTACGTGTCCTGTTGTAAAAACATTCTGGAAAGACATCAGTAATTTGCTCTGTGAATTCAAATTATTTAGTTTTCCATTCTCAGTCACAAATATATGTTTTGGAGTTGAGAATAGTAACAAAATAATTAACACTTTTGCTGTTGTTAGGTATGGTCAACTCTTTATTTTTCGAAATAAATGCCCCCAAAATAACTTAAAATGTATACAGTTCAAGTTTTTTTCTCCAAAATATTTATTGAAAACAAATCTCATTCATATTAACAGTAGTACATGATAATAATAATAGTAATAATAACATGTTCGTATAGACATAGAATATGTATAATAAAAATATAGTGTAATAGTTAACTCATCAGCAATAAAAAAAAAAGTTAACAAAATATCTGCCATTTCTTATTATGAAGATCGAGACAATTTTTATTGAAAGCAATTATATGTTTCATATTTTCTAAATGTTTGAGAGCTCGTTGAAAAGAAGGAAATAGTGGAATAAGGTTTTGCATTTTACAAGTGAATATAAAATATTTTGCAAAAAGAAATAACTGTATTGACGAATTAAAAATTATTGATTATATTCTTAACATATATCATATCAGAATTAAAACGTATATTAATATTGAGAGGTTTTCCGCCTACCAGTATATGAGAATTCAGGCAAAGGGGTTGGGAAATAATTTCTTTGAATTTAACTGGGTTGTAGTACTTGTAGTGACTCCATGCAATCAATATATCATTCCAGAAAGGATCTGTGTATTTATTGAACATTAAATGATCAGATCGGAGATTGCCGCTGAAAACAATATCACCTCCCATACGTCTCAGAGAATGTGCAAAAAACATTTTCCATTTGCTTTTGTTTTCTTCATCTAAGTATCTCTTTATCCAAGTAACTTCATTGCACGGTTAAAAGATAATAAATGAGGCATTTTAAGGCCTCTTTCTTTATATTCATTGTAAAGCAAAGAGGGTCTAATTTTGTTCTTCTTATTACTCCATACAAATTTAAAGAGTACTCTCTGAAGTTCTGAAAAGAATGATAAAGGGGGATCAGGAAGAATACAAAGTAAATAAATCAATTTTGGTATAACTAGAGATTTAATAATGGTCACAGTTCAAGTTGGAAATTATTTATTTAGAAAAAGCGGAAAGAGTTATTACCACAAGACAAGGACAAATGCTGAACATACATTGAAATGGCAAAACAAGTATGTAAAATTGTTATCAATGTTATCTTCAATGTATTCTTTACGTTATAGTTTATAATGTACCACTCATTATTATGTAAATTTCCTTCACAAACTGCTTTTTTATTTATTCAGATTTGAAGCAATAAACTTAGGATTATATTATTTTTTAAAGACCACTTATACAACAAAATCCCTTTATTACGTTTAATACATTTATGTAGCATTTCTACTCTGTGTGTTATCAGGCAATTATCAAGATCATGCACTGTATAAACGATAAAATCCCTTTCAGAACAAAGTCAACATTTCAATGGCTTTTCTCCAGTATGTATTTTCAGATAACTAGTAAGATTACTGTTAAAAGAAAATCTCTTTTTTACAATCTTAACATTTATAGGATGTGTTTTTAAATGCCTTGTGAGCTCACTTATATAATAAAATTCCTTATTTTTTAGGAACACTCTCTTCTGTAGTAACATCCCTTTTATAAGGTTTTTTCCTAGTGTATGTCCTCACATGACAGGTAAGATGACCTCACTCGGAAAAACCTGTACACACATTAAGAACATTAAAGGGTTTCCTGCCTGTTATCTAAGCTAGCTAATAACATCCCTTTGATAAGAAAATCTCATATTACAATCGAGACATTTTTTTTTTTTTTTCTAGTACATGTGTGTTCTTAAATGGCTTATAAGGGTACTACTTTGAAAAAAACCTTTATCACAATGGGAACATTTGAAAGGTTTTTCTTCATCGTGTGTTCTTAAATGTCTAGTAAAGTGACATCTCTGAGAAAAACTCTTATCACAATGGAAACATTGTAGAGGCTTTTCAGTGAGGCTTTGTGATCTTAAATGTTGATTAAGGGAAGTTTTATGGGAAAAACCCTTATCACACTGGGAACATTTGAAGGGTTTCTCTCCTGTATGTCTTCTAAGGTGGCGAGTAAGACTAGTCAGTTGAGCAAATGTCTTATCACAATAGGAACATTGATAAGGCTTTTCTCCACTGTGTGTTCTTAAATGTATAATAAGGGTACCTCTTTCAGCAAAACCTGTATCACACTGAGAACACTTAAATGGTTTCTCTCCTGTATGTGTTCTAAGGTGGGTAGTAAGAGTAGTCTTTACAGAAAACCCCTTATCACACTGGGAACACTTAAAGGGTTTCTCTCCTGTATGTGTTCTAAGGTGGGTAGTAAGACTAGTCTTTACAGAAAACCCCTTATCACACTGGGAACACTTAAAGGGTTTCTCTCCTGTATGTGTTCTAAGGTGTCTAATGAGGGAACTTCTTACAGAAAAACCCTTTTCACAATGGGAACAGTGAAAAGGCTTTTCTCCTGTATGCGTCCTTAGATGATTTCCTAGATTACTTTGGCAAGTAAAACCCCTATCACACTGGGAACACTTAAATGGTTTCTCTCGTGTATGTGTTCTAAGGTGGCTAGTAAGCTCATTCTTTTGATAAAACGTCTCATCACAATGGCAACATCGTTGCGGCTTTTTGTTGAGGCTGTGTATTCTTAATTGTCTAATAAGGGTACTTTTATGTGGAAAACCCTCATCACACTGGGAACACTTGAAAGTTTCCTCTCCAGTTTGTGTTCTAAGGTGGCTAGTACGCTCATAGTCGACCTGGTGTTTTTTTTTATGTACTATAAGAATGTTCTCATCTGTAAATGTCTTACTGCAATGTAAACACAGATGGGTCTTCTCTCCACTGCATGCTGTTGTATGTGGGTGTATATTGTCTTGTCCATTGTCCAACTCTAGGGAGGAAAAGAAAGTAATTACATCCCTATTGAAGAGAACATCAAGTTCTGGTATTGAAGTGTCAAAATCAAAATTAAAATCACTGTAGAGTAAAGAAATATCACCAGGCGTATCCAGTCTGCCTAGATGCAGAGTATCATGTAATGCTTAAAACCTTCAATACAGTCAACTTCGCATACATCAACTTTGACAGGAAACATTGAAATCTCAATATGTGTGTAAGCCAAAGAAAATTTGACTTTTGCCAAAGTTGACTTTGACGGGACCAAGCAAAATGCATCTAATTAGATGATTTTTTATTTCTATGTAAATCAAAATAAATTAAACCATATCTGGTCCCAAAGAGAACTCAGGAACTTGCCAGCAGTTTTGTTGATATTATAGATTTTATCCAAACTCGGTTTAAACTTTTGTGCAGACATCCAGAAAATAAGAACGTTACCAGTTGTTTTTTTCATGTACACGGTATATGACTGCAGACTCCTGTTAAAACTTGGACAATAAAATTACTTTCTACAAGAATATATTGCGAATGAGGAAGAGAACTGCGAAATCTGTTTAACATATAATGAATACGGAATGGTAACACTATGAATCAATGATATTGAATTTAGCTACCATTATTGTGCCAACTGTTGATAGATATTGTTGGATCTTCCCATACTTCAACTTCATACATGCATTGATACTAATACTGGTGTGATAATCGTGATTGCGGAGACGTGGTAATTAATTTTAATTGACCCTAGGGCTAATATAAGCTAGCTAGTAGTGCTACAATGCCTCCCAAACAAACAGCAATAGCATAATCTATCAAGGAGCTCCTAGACAGTGAGGACTCCAAGGAGGCACTCTCAAACAATTGTAGTAGCAAATTAAATGAAATCTCAAATAAGTTTGATGACATTTACCAGAAACTTGATCATCATGATCAACACTTCATAACTATTGAAAGTCTCAGAAAGTCAGATATTAAAATAACTGAAGTTTATGATGAACTCGCAACAAATTTCAGTACCTTCACACCTCATCAGAGAAGGCAAAATCAACCTTGATGGATGTCGAGATGAAGGTGAATGAGAGGGAGACAGCCATCAAACATCTTCCAAGTCAACTGATACAAGCCTCAACAAAATGTCAAACCTGAAACTTCAAGTTAACAGATAGAGCAGTTATCTCAAAACAGCTGCAAAATAATCTGAGGTCTCATAGAGAAGCGTGGAGAATACACCAAATTGAATACTGTCGTTTGTGAAGAAGGTAAGCAAATTAAAGTTGATCTTCAGGAGCAAGATATAGACGGTAGCCATCGAGTTGGTGACCCTTCTTTAGCAACACGTAAAGGTGATCATCCAATTATAGTTAAGCATAAATCATATTGCACGAGACAAGAGTTGTTACACAATAGAAGAAATCCTGTATAAAATTTAATAATTCCTATATATACAAGGTGATGATTGGGATGGGATGAAATAAGAATTATTATAAGGTGACAGGAGAAGATGGTTAATAGAATGATAAATAATAATAATAATAATAATAATAATACTGTAAACTTATAGAGCGCACACACCGTCCGGGGACGCTCATGGCGCTAGCTCAGCAACAGTTCTTTTTTATACAAGTAAAGTAAACAATTTTCCAATATTCATTTATTTAACCCATTTAAATCCTCAGCTCTGCCCGGTGGGGCCGGGTGCCCTCCAGCTGCTCCGTTGACGTTCACTGACAATTTAAGGGACTAGCCCAGTCAGCACATTATTCACAGGATCTCTAGCATCTGAGGCCACCAGGCCCCACAAGGGCAGCCAATGAGACTAAACGGTGATAACTAATTAATTTCAGATGTATATACAAATAGCATATCAATTATGGATTTAGTAAAATAAACTTATACAAGTTAAGGAAGTACTGAGTTAAAGATGGAATAGGTAAGTCTGATGACAATCTTTATTAAAGGTGGAGTATGTTGCAATACAGCAAAGTGATGGGGGAAGCTTATTCCATAATTTGGCTGCTGCATGTGAAAAAGCATGGTCTCCCCATGAATGGTGGGTACGGGGAATTTGCAGCAAATTATCACATCCAGATCTTATGGTACGAGTTGGATTGTAGGGGTGTAGTGAGTCTTTAATATATTGTGGAAAAATTCCATGGAGAGCCCGATAAACAAGTAACATAATTTTGAAGTGGACCCTTTTCTGGACAGGTAGCCAGTGAAGAGAGCGTAATATAGGCGTAATAGAGGACATTATTGGTGTGAAAGTAAAGAGTCTTGCACTGGAATTTTGGAGGAATTGCAGTCGATCTGTCTTGCTGCTGTTTGGCGAGTCCAAATAGGAAAGAATTACAAAAATCTAATCAAGATGAGATTAATGCATGGATTAATTGTTCACATGCTTTTTGAGTCAAAGATTTTCGTATGAACCCAAGGTTCTGCAGTTGAATTCTCACAGACTTGGATATGTTAGATACATGTTCAATAAATGACATATTATTGTCAAATATCACACCGAGGTTACAGACCTTTGAGGCTGAATTTAGAACTTTGCCACCTACCGGTACATGCAAGCCTAAATGAGTATGATTTGCTCTCAGTAAAGAATTCTTAGAGCCCAAAATGATAAACTCAGTTTTATTTTCATTTATTTTAAGACCGTTGGAATCCGTCCAGCCTTTCCTGTCATGAATACAGGCTTCTAAAGTTCTCCTAGCATCGGCAATTGCATCTGAGGAAGGATGTACAGAAATGAAAAGCTGAATGTTATCAGCATAACAATGATACTTTATATTATGCTTTCTAATTATTGTACTGATTGGCTCAAGGTAGACAGAAAACATTAACGGGCCACCAACGGACCCTTGTGGCACACCATATGAAATTTAAGTTTTGTCAGATTGAGAATTATTTACAGAGACATACTGGGTTCTTTTATGATGAAAACCACTGCAACGCAGTGCCTGTTACCCCAAGAGAATGTAGTCTCTTAACAAGTATTGTGTGGTCAATAGTGCAAAAGAACTTGACATATCAAGTAGCACAAGAAAAGTAACGTTACCTTTATCCATTTCAGAGAGGATACTGCCCACAAGATTAGTTAGCAGCGTTTCGACACTATGGGGCGGGCGGTAGGCAGATTGAAATTATCAATTAAATTATTTTCAATAAGATATGTGCGAAGACGTGAGAAAGCCACTCATTCTGTGAGTTTGGACAGATATGACAAATTTGAGATAGGTCTATAGTTCTGGAGACACTCACTATCCAAATTAGATTTTTTCAAGGTGAGCGCACTGCTGCAATCTTCATACTGTCAGGAACTATCCCTGAACCAAGACTTGTGTTAATTATAGTTACAATTGATGGTATAATAGCAGGAAGACATTGTATCATAAGCAATGTTGGTATGGGGTCAAGTTCACTGGATTTAGAAGGTGACCTCATTATGATTGACCTTGTCTCATCAGGAGTTGTTGGAGATAGCGTATCTAGTGTCTTCTCTGTAATCAAAGGAATTTCAAACCCTCCGATATTAGTAAGAGCTGATCTAACATTCTGAATTTTTTCCACAAAGAAATGGTTAAAACAATCTGCAAGATTTACATAAGTAGGAAGGGGAGATTTTTTACTTCTGTTAAGTAGAACATTTGCAACTCTAAAAAGCTGTCTTGTAACTAGTTATATGATGTTTTGGCAGCGCGAACACTTAACTGCACTAACTGATGCTGGTTCTGATATTTCTAGACTCTAGGCCCGATATAAGCCATTTGCGCTCCAAATTCCTATGTTGGATAGTTCAGTGATTCTTTCCATAAATGATACAATATTGATGGACTTAATGTTACATGTGTGTATCACACTCTTTGCAGCAGGAGGTTTTATTAATTTCAACTTACAAATTATGGCAGAATGGTCAGAAAGACCATCCACCACCATTACATCTGTCACACTATTTATAGGGTTGTCACAAGCGCTATATAAACTGTTCATTGCAATGACGAACCTTCGTCATTGCCTTGTTTTCGTTCACATTCTGCCCAATTAATTGCAATGACGAACCTTCGTCATTGCCTTGTTTTCGTTCACATTCTTCTTATTAATATTCTTACTTCTTCTTCTTCTTCTTGTCGTCCGGAATCCCATTCGTTTTGCACGTAGTGCTTGTTATTCCTAGTTAGGTGCTTTCCTCATGTCCTTTTCCTTTCAAATTTCGTAGGCATCATCTCTAGCATCTCACCAAGGTCACCTACTTTTTCGATTTTCGAAATCACTCATGCATAACCGTCCAGGCGCCATTTTGTCCGTTTCTGGTCCATTTTAAGCCCTTAATCTTCCTTCCTATCTCCACTATCCTAGATCCTACAAACTTCTAACAAATTCCTCTAGATAGTCTGAGAGATGTTCTTTCATCTGCGACGTATGACTTGACCTTCAAAATGCCATCTTCATACTCGAAATTCAAATCTAAAACCGACTCCGTCAAAAATCTCTCAAGTTCTTGAAAAATGGACCCCTAAATAATCTAAAACTGCCATAACTTTCTCATATAAATTCCGTTTTGTATTTAAATCTCACAGTATCTTTATCTCATAATTGCACATAGCCATGCCAAATTTCACGCTCCAATGGCTTTGCACAACATAAATAGCGCCCTCTAAAGTTCTGGGAATTGGCTTTCTCTCTGTGGCCGTATCTCCATAATGGCTTGGCAAACCCGTACCCTTTTTTGGATTTAGATACTTGAAGATATGCCCTTTCCAGCCATATACAAAATTATATACCCTATCACTGACCAAATTTGAGAAAATTGCCCTCCAAATTCGCCATTTTCAAGAAAATTGAGAAATAACTTCAACTTGCTCTAAAATGGCGATCGTTATACCTACATCAATGAAACTTGGCACACATATGTATCCATATACGTGACAACTGTTTACAAAGTTTGGTAAAATTCGAATATGTCAGCGCAAAGTTATCGCCAAAAATGATTAATTTACTATGGATTACGTAATAGCGCGTTCAATGCGCGCAATACATTGCGCGCAGTTAACAATGGTGTCAAACTGACCGCAATGAAGTGCCCTTTCGGATGATACCAAGTATTATATATGTTCACACAGAAAATTGTGAGTAAATCGCATTTGAACAAAGATCACTACACGAATTCCGCCGAGTTTCCGCCCGAACCTAACACGTTTCGGCTATGACGTCATTTTTTCAGACTGCTTTTCGCCCCTTAAACGTCCTTTTTTTTCCTTGAAAATTTGCAGTGACATGCCGAGTTCCAATACGCAGGGCACCTCTTGGCCGGATTTTTGAAATTGGTCAAGGGGGCCATTTAAGACGCCATTTTGTCCTATACATCTATTTTACATCACGTGTTTCGATAGGATTATCATAGAAAAAAAGAGAGTGGTTTACAATAACCATGAAATTCTCTTTCTAATGATACCAAATACGGCCCATAAAGAGACGTAAAGAGAGAGAGAAAAAACAATTTAACTCCGGCCATAATACAGATCCTGCACGTTTTCCGCCCATTCATTACACGCATTGTCTATGGGGCATATCGGGTTCACGCTACAGACTTCGTGCAAATTGCTCTGGATAGTCCGAGAGAAGCTCTTTCGTTTGACACGTAGAAACACGGCGTCATTGCACGCACATCGTTCTGACACGATTGCATTTCTAGTATTCTCCTTTTCCTTATCCTTATCGTCCGGAAATCGCATTCGTTTTGCACGTAGTGCTTGTGATTCCTAGTAAGGTGCTTTCCTCATGTCCTTTTCCTTTCAAATTTCGTAGGCATCGTCTCTAACATCTCATCAAGGTGACTACATTCTTCGATTTTAAAAATCACTCATGCATAACCGTCCAGGCGCCATTATGTCCGTTTCTGGTCCATTTTAAGGCCTTATTTTATTCCTTCCTATCTCCACTATCCTAGATCCTACAAACTTCTAACAAATTCCTCTAGATAGTCTAAGAGATGTTCTTTCATCTGCGACATATAACCTGACCTTCAAAATGCCATCTTCGTACTCAAAATTTAAATCTGAAACCGACTCCGTCAACAATCTCTCAAATTCTTGAAAAATGGACCCCTAAAAATCTAAAAATTGCAATAACTTTCTTTTACCAATTCCGTTAGGTCTCATCTTCTCGCAGTATCTTTATCTCATAATTGCACATAGCCATGCCAAATTTTACGCTCAAATGGCTATGCAAAACATAAATAGCGCCCTCTAAAGTTCTGGGAATTGGCTTTCTTTCTGTGGCCGTATCTCCATTATGGCTTGGCAAACCCGTACCCTTTTTTGGATTTAGATACTTGAAGATATGTCCATTCCAGCCATATACAAAATTATATACCCTATCACTGACCAAATTTGAGAAAATTGCCCTCCAAATTCGCCATTTTCAAGAAAATTGAGAAATAACTTCAACTTGCTCTAAATTAGCGATCTTTATACCTACATCAATGAAACTTGGCAGACATATGTATCCATATACGTGACAACTGTCCACCAAGTTTTGTAAAATTTGAATATGTCAGCGCAAAGTTATCGCCAAAAATGATGAATTTGCTATGCATTACGTAATAGCGCGTTTAATGCGTGCAATACATTGCGCGAAGATAACAATGGTGTCAAACTGACCGCAACGAAGTGCCCTTTTGAATGATACCAAGTATAGTATATGTTCACACAGAAAATTGTGAATAAATCGCATTTGAACAAAGGTCACTACACGAATTCCGCCGAGTTTCCGCCCGAATCTAACACGTATCGGCTATGACGTCATTTTTTCGGACTGCTTTTCGCCCCTTAAACGTCCTTTTTTTTCCTTGAAAATTTGCAGTGACATGCCGAGTTCCAATATGCAGGGCACCTCTTGGCCGGATTTTTAAAATTGGTCAATGGGGCCATTTAAGACGCCATTTTGTCTTATAAATCTATTTTACATCACGTGTTTCGATAGGATTATCATAGAAAAAAAGTGAGTGGTTTACAATAACAATCATGAAATTCTCTTTCTAATGATACCAAATACGGCCCATAAGAAGACATAAAGAGAGAGAGAAAAAACAATTTAACTCCGGTCATAATACAGATCCTGTACGTTTTCCGCTCATGCATTACACGCATTGTCTATGGGGCATATCGGGTTCACGCTTTTGACCCCCAGAACGATCTGTATTGCAATGACGAACATGCACCAAATCCCCTTGGTTTTTGCACGCAGTGCTTGCGAGCCCTTTCTACGTCCTTTCCCCTATCCCAATTTCTTTCAAACTTCGTAGGCATATAGTCACTACCATCCCATCAAGGTCACTGTTGAGGCCTTTCTCTCGCCCTACCTATCTCTAACATCACAGAAGCTACAGACTTCGTACAAATCGCTCTGGATAGTCCGAGAGAAGCTCTTTCGTTTGACATGTAGAAACATGGCGTCATTGCACGCACATCGTTGTGACACGATTGCATTTCTAGTGCTAATTATTCTTGTGCAAGTTTTTCAACTTGAACTTTTAAAGGCAGGTGATATTCACCCTATTCCAGGGCCAGATAATAATAAATTTTTTTAGGGGTCCATTTTTCAAGAATATGAGAGATTGTTGACGGAGTCGGTTTTAGATTTGAATTTTGAGTATCAAGATGGCATTTTGAAGGGCAAGTTATACATCGCAGATTAAAGAACATCTCTTAGACTATCTAGAGGATTTTGTTAGAAGTTTGTAGGATCTAGGATAGTGGAGATAGGAAGGAAGATAGAAAGGCCTTAAAATGGACCAGAAATGGACAAAATGGCGCCTGGATGGTTATGCATGAGTGATTTCGAAAATCGAAAAAGTAGGTGACCTTGATGAGATGCTAGAGATGATGCCTATGAAATTTGAAAGGAAAAGGACATGAGCAAAGCACCTAACTAGGAATCACAAGCACTGCGTGCAAAACGAATGCGATTTCCGGACGATAAGGAAAACAAGGAGGAGAATATTAATGGGGCAGAATGTGAACGAAAACAAGGCAATGACGAAGGTCGTCATTGCAATTATATGGAATTCTTCTTTTCAAGAAGCAACTCCTACTATAAGGTTGATGTACAAAGTCATTTACAGAACCACTAACAAAATTATGTGCACATGCAATGTTACTCACATGGAAGCACAATGTTACAAGAAACCAGAGATGAATAGAATCCATTGTATTACATAATAGTACTCCAATTGTGCTTGGTCAGGCAATGACAATACAAGGTTAATACAACAATTCAGAGCCGCGATCATAACATTTTTACATAATTGAATATTCATATCAAATGCTAATGCAACTTATTCAAAAATAGAATGGTAGTGAAATCCTATAGTGTACCATAGGCTTACTAAACAATAACATGAGTTACAGATACAGGTAATATTAAACAAAAATCTGATAAAAGATACAAAAGAGAAATATCAATACCGGTATCTATGTTACATTCTATCTAGAAATATATTTTCCACAGTGAACTTACAAAAATAAATACTATCCCTTCAAATGTCTTCTTGGGAAAACGTGACATCATATACGAGAAAAGATATCGCTTCCTCGATCCGAAAATAGAATATACAGTAGGCCTGTTGGTGCACCATATGTGAGAGAGAGAGGGAGGATTGAGAATAGAATAATTGAAATTGATCATTTATGAAGTACATGTACCAACAAAATTGGGGGTACATTTAGCTTGCAAAATGAAATCCTATTTCAAGCATGCCATTTGTTATATCCCCCTCCCCCCCCCCCCCCCCCTCCTGAAGTTTTGTGATAAATTCACAGTACACACAATTTTGCTACATGAATTCATGATGCTGAAATCTACATTCATGACACTGAAAATATATACATCAACATAGTCTTACACATATCACCCTCATTTTGTATTATGTATAGCGGTCCTTATGAGTAGTGACCCCTCACGCAATTTACGGTCATCTTCACAATTAAACCTCGTATCTACTTCTGTGTCAACTCTCTCTTATGGTAATCGCTCCTTTCGCAAAGCTTCTGCTGAACTTTGGAACAAATTACCTTTAAATGTAAAAAACTGTCAAACCGTTAACCTATTCAAAACTAGTCTCAAGACACATTTATTCAAAATTGCGTTCGATGATTAATTATCTCTGTTCACTTTGATGTGTATTTTATATGTATTGTTATTTGTAGGTTTATTTGCATTTTTAGTTTTGTATAAGATGTAATTGTATATCAGTCTATTTTGTGTGTATAGCGCTTAGAGACTTCGGTGGTAAGCGCTTTATAAGTAACGTTTTTATTATTATTATTATTATAATATAAATTACGAATAGCGGTCCTTATGAGTAGTGACTCCCAATATAAATTATGAATAGCGCCCCTTCTTCATGTTCATGAATAGCGACCCTCATTTGGTATTATGAGTAGGGGCCTGTCCTTACAAGTAATGACCCTCAATATAAATAATGAATAGCGACCCTTACCTCACACTATGAATAGCGGTCCTTAAGAATAACGGTCCTTATGACATTACGAATAGTGACCTCCTTTCCGTTTTATGAATAGCGCTTCTTCATGTATAGGAAGTTACACGTTATGAATTGTAGTCCTTAAGACTAGCGAGGTTACCCCTTAAAAGGTTTCTCTCCTGTATGTGTTCTAAGGTTCCTAATTTTGGACATTTATATGTATGCAGAGGCGCCGGAGGTGAGGGAGAAGGGGGGGAAGGGGGGGGGGGGCAGGGAAAAATGTGTGGGGGGGGGGGTGGGGTAAAACGCATTTTCGCCCCACAAAAAACAAATCACCGGTAAAGGAGTGAAGATGGTATGTATTTTTTAACCAAAAATACAATAAAAATTGAATCACAACAAAAATTATATTCTATCCAAAGAAAAGGAGAGTAAACAGAAATTGAATTTCCTAAATATTCTGCATGCCCATATATTTACCAATGAAGGATTTGATAATAGCAATAGGCGCATATCGTGGAAATATTGTGAGAGGAATGGGAAAGCGTGTGTTTTTTTTATTATATGGATGAGAAGACATGATCCCCTCAACACTGGCATACTGACGGGTTGGGGTGGGGTTTTGGGCAGTTGCCCCCTCCCCCCCCCCCCCCAAATAATATTCAAACAAGGTTTATTTCTCATTCGATACCTCTAGAGATTTACAAATGTTGCTGAAATGACACGATTTTCTGGGATTTTTTTCTCAATTTCCTTGGTAAGTGCGTTTGTTGGAAAATATCAAAATCCAAAATTTACAGCCAGGCCTTCAGACCCCACCAGGGGCCCTAAGACGGGCCCCTCAATTGGTCATCTGACTATAATTAAATGCTTTAAAAAAACCTGAGCTTCAAGGGGCTCAGCCCCCTGGCAGTGACCTGCCAGTGTCACAAATAAGGTATCTAAATACGCTTTTCTGACCATAATAATTAAATGCCTAAAACCCCTGAGCTTCCAGGGGCTCCTCACCTCGACTCCCCCCTGGGCAATAGAGCGATTTACAAACCAAAACAGAAGCAATTTAAAATATTCAAGTTTGATTGTAATACATTAACAGGTTCTCAGAATATCGTGACTCAAGCTCTTTTTCATATATATGTATGACCCTTTGATCTTTGACCTCATGACCCTTAAATCTAATCAGTTCATTGGCTCTGCAATATACACGCATGTCATGAGTTTGTTAGTAATCTGTCCATCTGTTCTAATGATAATATTTATGTCGCATTTTTACTGTGTGTGTTATTGGTCAATTAGCAAGATCATGAACTGTATAAACGATAAAATCCCTTTTTAGAACAAAGTAAACATTTAAATGGCTTTTCTCCAGTAACTATTAAGATTACTGTTAAAAGAAAATCTCTTAATACAATCTTAACATTTATGTTCTTATATGCCTTGTGAGCTCACATTTATCAGAAAATTCCTTTTTTTATAAGAAACGCTTGAAGAGTTGCTCTCCTGTATGTGTTCTACAGTGGCTAGTAACATCCTTTTATAAAAAAAGAAATCTCTTATTACAATCACGACATTTATAAGGTTGTTCTCTTGTGTGTGTGTCTAACATGACAAATTAGATGACCTCGTTCAGAAAAACCTGTATCGCAAACGGATTAATTAAAGGGTTTCCCACCTGTAATATATCTAAGCTGGCTAATAACTTCCAATTGATAGAAAATCTCATATTACAATCGAAACATTTTCTTCTTTTTTTCTAGTACGTGTATGTGTCCTAAAATGACGATTAAGATCACCTTGTTGAGAAAAACTGGTATCGTAATGGTAACATCGATAAGGCTTTTCTCCACTGTGTGTTCTTAAATGTCGAATAAGGGTACTTCTTGGAGAAAAACTTGTATCACAAATTGGAATGCTTAAAGGGTTTCTCTCCTGTATGTGTTCTAAGGTGGTTAGTAAGCCTAGCCTATTGAGAAAAACCCTTATCACACTTAGAACATCGATAAGGCTTTTCTCCTGTATGTCCTTACATGAGAGGTACATGTAAGAGTACTTTGTTGAGAAAATCTCTTATCACAATGGTAGCATCGATGAGGCTCTTCATCGAGGCTGTGTGTTCTTAAATGTCTAATAAGGGTACTTTTATAGGGAAAACCCTCATCACACTAGGAACATTTAAAGGGTTTCTCCCCTGTATGTATTCTAAGGTGGTTAGTAAGAATAGTCTTTCGAGAAAATGTCTTATCACAATGGGGACACTTAAAGGGTTTCTCTCCTGTATGTGTTCTAAGGTGGGCAGTAAGATTAGTCTTTACAGAAAACCCCTTATCACACTGAGAACACTTAAATGGTTTCTCTCCTGTATGTGTTCTAAGGTGGTTAGTAAGAATAGTCTTTCGAGAAAATGTCTTATCACAATGGGGACACTTAAAGGGTTTCTCTCCTGTATGTGTTCTAAGGTGGCTAGTAAGAAAAGTCTTTCGAGAAAATGTCTTATCGCACTGAGAACACTTAAATGGTTTCTCTCCTGTATGTGTTCTAAGGTGGTTAGTAAAAGTAGTCTTATCACGAAATCTTTTATCACAATTGGGACATCGATAAGGCTTTTCTCCACTGTGTGTTCTTAAATGGGTAGTAAGATAACTTTGACAAGTAAAAACCTTATCACACTGGGAACATTGATGAGGCTTTTCTCCACTGTGTGTTGTTAAATGTCTAATAAGGGTACCTCTTTCGGCAAAACCTGTATCACACTGAGAACACTTAAATGGTTTCTCTCCTGTATGTGTCCTAAGGTGACGTGTAAGATTCTTGTTTTCAGAAAATCCTTTATCACAATTGGGACATCGATACGGCTTTTCTCCACTGTGTGTTCTTAAATGGGTAGTAAGATAACTTTGGCAAGTAAAAACCTTATCACACTGGGAACACTTAAAGGGTGTCTCTCCTGTATGTTTTCTAAGGTGTCTAATAAGGGTACTTCTTTGAGAAAAAAACTTTTCACAATAGGAACAGTGAAAAGGCTTTTCTCCTGTATGCGTCCTTAGATGCTTTCCTAGATTACTTTGGCAAGTAAAAACCTTATCACACTGGGAACACTTAAATGGTTTCTCTCGTGTATGTGTTCTAAGGTGGCTAGTAAGCTCATTCTTTTGATAAAACGTCTTATCACAATGGGAACATCGTTGAGGCTTTTTGTTGAGGCTGTGTGTTCTTAAATGTCTAATGAGGGAACTTTTATGGGGAAAACGCTCATCACACTGGGAACACTTGAAAGTTTTCTCTCCAGTTTGTGTTCTAAGGTGGCTAGTAAGCTCATAGTCGACCTGGTGTTTTTTTGGATGTAGTATAAGAGTGTTCTCATCTGTCAATGTCTTACTGCAATGTAAACACAGATGTGTCTTCTCTCCACTGCATGCTGTTATATGTGGTTGTATATTGTCTTGTCCATTGTCCAACTCTAGGGAAGAAAAGAAAGTACCGGTAATTACATCCCTATTGAAGAGAAGGTCAAGTTCTGGTATTAAAGTGTCAAAATCAAAATTAAAGTCACTGTAGAGTAAAGAAATATCCCCAGGCGTATCCAGTCTGCCTAGATGCAGACTATCACGAAATGGTTAAATCCTTCAATACAGTCAATTTTGCATACATCAATTTTGACAGGATACATTGAAATCTTTGAAATGTGTGTAAATCAAAGAAAATTTGACTTTCGTCCAAGTTGTCTTTGATGGGACCAAGCAAAATGCATCTAAATAGATGATTTTTGCTTTCTATGTATTAAGTCAAATGAATTAAACCATATCTGGTCCCAAAGAGAACTTGGGAACTTGCCAGCAGTTTTGTTGATTTTATAGTTTTTATCCAAACTCGGTTTAAACTGTTGTGCAGACATCCAGAAAATAAGAAAGATACCAGTATTTTTTCATGTACACGGTATATGACTGCAGACTCATGTTAAAACTTGGACAATAAAATTACTTTCTACAAGAATATATTGCCAAAAAGGAGGAAGAGAACTGCAAAATCTGTTTAACATAATGAATGAATGGGTACTGAATACGGAATGGTAACACAATTATGAATCAATGATATTGAATTTAGCTACCATTCTTGTGCAAACTGTTGATAGATATTGTTGGATCTTTGAAATAATCTACTACGGTCCCATACTTGATGAAACGTTAAGTGAACTGCGTACATGCATTGATACTAATACCGGTGTGATAATCGTGATTGTGGTGACGTAGTAATTAGTGTCGACCCTAGGGCTAGGCCAGCTAGTAGTACTACAATGCCTCCCAAACAGACAGCAATACCATCAAGCTATCAAGGAGCTCCTAGACAGTGGGGACTCCAAGGAGGCACTATCGAACAATGGTAGTAGCAAATTAGATGAAATCTCAAATAACTTTGATGGCATTTACCAGAAACTTGATCATCATGATCAATGCTTCATAACTATTGAAAGTCTCAGAAAGTCAGATATTAAAATAACTGAAGTTTATGATGAACTCGCAACAAATTTCAGTACCTTCGCACCTCATCAGAGAAGGCAAAATCAACCTTGATGGATGTCGAGATGAAGGTGAATGAGAGGGAGACAGCCATCAAACATCTTCTAAGTGAACTGATACGAGCCTCAACAAAATGTCAAACCTGAAACGTCAAGTTAACAGATAGAGCAGTGTTCTCGAACAGCTGCAAAAGAATCTTCGGTCTCATAGAGAAGCGTGGAGAAAACACCAAATTGAATACTCTCATTTGTGAAGAAGGTAAGCGAATTAAAGTTGATCTTCAGGAGCAAGATATAGACGGTAGCCATCGAGTTGGCGACCCTTCTTTAGCAACACGTAAAGGTGATCATCCAATTATAATTAAGCTTGAATCATATTGCAAAAGACAAGAGTTGTTACAAAATAGAAGAAAATTAAAGCCACAGTAATAATCGGGAGCGCCAGGAGTGTCAAGTCTGATGACAGATATGAGCTCAGCTTGAAGGCGTGGCAATCCTGTATAAAATTTAATAATTCCTATATATACAAGGTGATGATTGGGATGGGATGAAATAAAATGTATTAAGGTTACAGGAGGAGATGGTTAATAGAATGATAAATAATAATAATAATAATAATAATAATAATACTGTAAACTTATAGAGCGCACACATCGTCCGGGGACGCTCATGGCGCTAGCTCAGCAACAGTTCTTTTTTAAACAAGTAAAGTAAACATTTTTGCAATATTTATTTATTTAACCCATTTAAATCCTCAGCTCTGCCCAATGAGACTAAAGGGTGATAACTAATTAATTTCAGATGTATATACAAATAACTTATCAATTATGTGTTTAGTAAAATAAACTTATACAAGTTAAGGAAAGACTGAGTTACAGATGGAATAGGTAAGTTTGAAGACCATCTTTAAAGGTGGAGTATGTTGCAAGACAGCAAAGTGATGGGGGAAGCTTATTCCATAATTTGGCTGCTGCATGTGAAAAAGCATGGTCTCCCCATGAATGATGGGTACGGGGAATTTGCAGCAAATTATCACTTCCAGATCTTAAGGTACGAGTTGGATTTTAGGGGTGTAGTGAGTCTTTAATATATTGTGGTGAAATTCTATGGAGAGCCCGATAAACAAGTAACATAATTTTGAAGTGGACCCTTTTCTGGACAGGTAGCCAGTGAAGAGAGCGTAATATAGGCGTAATAGAGGACATTATTGGTGTGAAAGTAAAGAGTCTAGCACTGGAATTTTGGAGGGATTGCAGTCTGTCTTGCTGCTGTTTGGTGAGTCCAAATAGAATAGAATTACAAAAATCTAATCGAGATGAGATTAATGCATGGATTAATTGTTCGCATGCTTTTTTAGTCAAAGATTTTCGTATGAACCCAAGGTTCTGCAGTTGATATCTCACAGACTTTGATATGTTAGATACATGTTCAATAAATGACATATTATTGTCAAATATCACACCAAGGTTACAGACCTTTGAGGCTGGCTTTAGAACTTTGCCACCTACATGCAACCTTAAATGAGTATGATTTGCTCTCAGTAAAGAATTCTTAGAGCCCAAAATGATAAACTCAGTTTTATTTTCATTTATTTTAAGACCGTTGGAATCCATCCAGCCTTTCATGTCATCAATACAGGCTTCTAAAGTTCTCCTAGCATCGGCAATTGCATCTGAGGAAGGATGTACAGAAATGAAAAGCTGAATGTCATCAGCATAACAATGATACTTTATATTATGCTTTCTAATTATTGTACAGATTGGCTCAAGGTAGACAGAAAACATTAACGGGCCACCAACGGACCCTTGTGGCACACCATATGAAATATAAGTTTTGTCAGATTGAGAATTATTTACAGAGACATACTGGGTTCTTTTATGATGAAAACCACAAAACGCAGTGCCTGTAACCCCAAGAGACTGTAGTCTCTTAACAAGTATTGTGTGGTCAATAGTGTCAAAAGTATACTTGACATATCAAGTAGCACAAGAAAACTAACATTACCTTTATCCATTTCAGAGAGGATACCGTCCACAAGATTAGTTAGCAGCGTTTCCACACTATGGTGCGGGCGGTAGGCAGATTGAAAATTATCAATTAAATTATTTTCAATAAGATATGTGCGAAGACGTGAGAAAGCCACTCATTCTGTGAGTTTGGATAGATATGACAAATTTGAGATAGGTCTATAGTTCTGGAGACACTCACTATCCAAATTAGATTTTTTCAAGGTGGGGCGCACTGGTGCAATCTTCATACTGTCAGGAACTATCCCCGAACCAAGACTTGTGTTAATTATAGTTACAATTGATGGTATAATAGCAGGAAGACATTGTTTCATAAGCAATGTTGGTATGTGGTCAAGTTCACTGGATTTAGAAGGTGAACTCATTATGATTGACCTAATCTCATCAGGAGTTGTTGGAGATAGCGTATCTAGTGTCTTCTCTGTAATCAAAGGAATTTCAAACCCTCCGATATTAGTAAGAGCTGATCTAACATTCTGATTTTTTTCCACAAAGAAATTGTTAAAACGATCTGCAAGATTTACATAAGTAGGAAGGGGAGATTTTTTACTTCTGTTAAGTAGAACATTTGCAACTCTAAAAAGCTGTCTTGTAACTAGTTATATGATGGTTTGGCAGCGCGAACACTTAACTGCACTAACTGATGCTGGTTCTGATATTTCTAGACTCTAGGCCCGATATAAAAGCCATTTGCGCTCCAATTTCCTATGTTGGATAGTTCAGTGATTCTTTCCATAAATGATACAATATTGATGGACTTAATGTTATGTGTGTGTATCACACTCTTTGCAGCAGGAGGTTTTATTAATTTCAACTTACAAATTATGGCAGAATAGTCAGAAAGACCATCCACAACCATTACATCTGTCACACTATTTATATCTGACTGGCGAGTGATTAGCAAGTCCAGAGTGTGGCCATGTATGTGTGTTGGGACTTGAATATGTTGTTTAAAGTGACTTGGTAACATTGTTGAAGGTTGATGAAAAAAATTGCTTAATTTTTGTATAAATGTTACTTACTATATTCCTTCTACTGTACTAACCCTCTGACATGCAAAAAATCCTGATTTTTTTTTCAAACCACGAAGATATCTATGGTTTTCTTTGAAGTCGTCAATGTATGACACCCTCTAACAGTGATTAACAGTAAATTCTCCCAACCCTTTTTGAATTTTCCCAACCGTTTTTCCATGAAAAAGAGACATAGAACAGGCTATAAAAAAATCGGTCAACACTTAAATGTCTGGAATGGAATAGCAATTTTATTGCTTTGTGAGATTTCCATTCACCTAAAATGTAATTAAAATTGTAATGATATATTTGGGAGAATTAAGGAATCGATCAGATCAGTTTTTTCCAATTTGTACCATGAATAATGGTCCATTTTCATTCAAATTTTAAGATTATCTTTAATTGTACATTTAGCATTGAAGTCACTACCTAATTAGCACCACTTTCTCTTATCTGTGATGCAACCATGTCTCACATACACCAAAAATGTCAAGGTCATAACAAAGTCATTGAATTCAGAGTTTTTATTATGAATCGGGCGGGTATTAATCATACAAATAATTATTATGCTATTATTGATATAATGATATAATGTGTTAATTTCCAAGGAATTTACATGTTTTGTTAATTTCATTAGTAATGTTAGTAATATTAAGTAATGTTAATTTGTTAAGTATTGTTAGTAATATTTGATCTTCTTGTTAATTTGTTAAGTATTGTTAGTAATATTTGATCTTCTTGTTAATTTAAGTAATGATAATTTGTTAAGTTATGTTAGTAATATTTTGTTTTCTTGGTAATTTGAGTATTGTTAATTCCATTAGTAATATTGATTTTTTTTGTTGAAGTAATTTTGATTTGTGTACATGTACAGCGCTTTGAAACTGTTGTCACAAGCGCTACATAAATTTTTCATATTATTATTATTATACAAAAGGAGTTACTCTGTTGTGGTTGAACAAGTTTATCCTTTGAACGGTGAGGCAGTGATGCCTTACACTCGTTTCGGTGACAGTTTCTACGTTTGCCACCTTGATTTCCCCTGCGCGTTTTGGTATAAAAGGTTGAAGCCCACATGATGTGATAACATTTAAAACATCATGTAGTAATTCAGTTAACTTGTCTTTCCACTGCCGAAACTCAGCTGTATTATACTTACATGTATATACATGTTGTGTGGACTTGAGTTCAGAGTAGGCATTAGTCACGGTAGGTGTATGATGAATGGTATTAAATTTATTATTATCTGGCCCTGGAATAGGGTGAATATCACCTGCTTTTAAAAGTTCAAGTTGAAAAACTTGCACAAGAATAATTAGCATTATATGGAATTCTTCTTTTCAAGAAGCAAGTCCTACAATAAGGTTGATGTACAAAGTCATTTGCAGAACCACTAACAAAATTATGTGCACATGGAATGTTATTCACATGGAAGCATAATGTTACATAAAAACAGAGATGAATAGAATCCATTGTATTACATAATAGTACTCCGATTGTACTTGGTCATGCAGTGACAATACAAGGTTAATACGACAATTCAGAGCCTCGATCATAACATTTTTACATAATTGAATATTCATATCAAATGATAATGCAACTTATTCAAAAATAGAATGGTAGTGATATCCTATAGTGTACCATAGGTTTACTATACAATAACATGAGTTACAGATACAGGTAATATTAAACAAAATCACTTTTAATACAAAAGATAATACTGTAGTTCTTTCATAACAAATGAAAGAGAAAAAACATTTCATGTAAAAGTGAGAAGAGAAATAAAGAGTATAACAAAAATCATTAAAAATCTGATAAAAGATACAAAAGAGAAATATCAATACCGGTATCTATGTTACATTCTATCTAGAAATATATTTTCCACAGTGAACTTACAATAATAAATACTATCCCTTCAAATGTCTTCTTGGGGAAAACGTGACATCAAATACGAGAAAAGATATCGCTTCCTCGATCCGAAAATAAAATATACAATAGGCTTGCGGGTGCACCATGTGAGAGAGAGAGGGAGGATTGAGAATAGAATAATTGAAATTGATCATTTATGAAGTACATGTACCAAAAAACTTGGGGGTACATTTAGCTTGCAAAATGAAATCCTATTTCAAGCATGCCATTTGTTATATCCCCCCCCCCCCTCCTGAAGTTTTGTGATAAATTCACAGTACACACAATTTTGCTACATGAATTCATGATGCTGAAATCTACATTCATGACACTGAAAATATATACATCAACATAGTCTTACACATATCACCCTCATTTTGTATTATGAATAGCGGTCCTTATGAGTAGTGACCCCCAATATAAATTATGAATAGCGGTCCTTATGAGTAGTGACTCCCAATATAAATTATGAATAGTGCCCCTTCTTCATGTTCATGAATAGCGACCCTCATTTTGGTATTATGAGTAGCGGCTGGTCCTTACAAGTAATGACCCTCAATATAAATAATGAATAGCGGTCCTTATGTCACATTATGAATGGCGATCCATATGAATAACGGTCCTTATGACATTACAAATAGTGACCTCCTTTCCGTTTTATCAATAGCGGTTCTTCATGTATAGGAAGTTACACGTTATGAATTGCAGTCCTTAACACTAGCGAGGCTACCCCTTAAAAGGTTTCTCTCCTGTATGTGTTCTAAGGTTCCTAATTTTGGACATTTACATGTATGCAGAGGCGCCGGAGGTGAGGGGGGGGGGGGAGCAGGGAAAAGTATGGGGGGGGGTAAGAGATTTACAAATGTTGCTGAAATGACACGATTTTCAGGGATTTTCTCAATTTCTTTTATAAGTGCGTTTCTTGGAAAATATCAAAATCCAAAAATTTACAGTCAGGCCTTCAGACCCCACCAGGGGCCCTAAGATGGGCCCCTCAATCGGTCATCTGACTATAATTAAATGCCTAAAACCCCTGAGCTTCCAGGGGCTCGTCACCTCAACTCCCCCGGGGCAATAGAGTGATTTTACAAACCAAAACAGAAGCAACTTAAAATATTCAAGTTTGATTGTAATACATTAACAGGTTCTCAGAATATCGTGATTACAAGCTTTTTTTCATATACATGTATGACCCTTTGATCTTTGACCTCATGACCCTAAAATCTAATCAGTTCATTGGCTCTGCAAGATACACACATGTCATGAGTTTGTTAGTAATCGATCCATCTGTTCTAATGATAATATTTATGTGGCATTTTTACTCTGTGTGTTATTAGTCAATTAGCAAGATCATGCACTGTATAAACAATAAAATCCATTTTTAGAACAAAGTAAACATTTAAATGGCTTTTCTCCAGTAACTAGTAAGATTACTCTTGTGTGTGTGTGTCTAACATGACAAATTAGATGACCTCGTTCAGAATAACCTGTATCACAAACGGATCAATTAAAGGGTTTCCCACCTGTAATATATCTAAGCTGGCTAATAACATCCAATTGATAGAAAATCCCATATAACAATCGAAAAATTTTCTTTCTTTTTTCTAGTACATGTATGTGTCCTAATATGACGATTAAGATCACCTTGTTGAGAAAAACTGGTACCGTAATGGTAACATCGATAAGGCTTTTCTCCACTGTGTGTTCTTAAATGTCAAATAAGGGTACTTCTTGGAGAAAAACTTGTATCACAAATTGGAATCCTTAAAGGGTTTCTCCCCTGTATGTGTTCTAAGGTGGTTAGTAAGCCTAGCCTTTTGAGAAAAACCCTTATCACACTTGGAAAATTGATAAAGCTTTTCTCCTGTATGTCCTTACATGAGAGGTACATGTAAGAGTACTTTGTTGAGAAAATCTCTTATCACAATGGTAGCATCGACGAGGCTCTTCATCAAGGCTGTGTGTTCTTAAATGTCTAATGAGGGTACTTTTATAGGGAAAACCCTCATCACACTAGGAACATTTAAAGGGTTTCTCCCCTGTATGTGTTCGAAGGTGGCTAGTAAGACTAGGTGGCTAGTAATTAGACGAAATGTCTAGTAAAGTGACATCTGTGAGAAAAACTCTTATCACAATGGAAACATTGTAGAGGCTTTTCAGTAAGGCTTTGTGATCTTAAATGTCTAATAAGGGAAGTTTTATGGGAAAAACCCTTATCACAATGGGGACACTTAAATGGTTTCCCTCCTGTATGTGTTCTAAGGTGACGACTAAGATTATTCTTTCGAGAAAATGTCTTATCACAATGGGGACACTTAAAGGGTTTCTCTCCTGTATGTGTTCTAAGGTGGTTAGTAAGAATAGTCTTTTGAGAAAATGTCTTATCACAATGGGGACACTTAAAGGGTTTCTCTCCTGTATGTGTTCTAAGGTGGCTAGTAAGACTAGTCTTTTGAGAAAATGTCTTATCACAATGGGGACACTTAAAGGGTTTCTCTCCTGTATGTGTTCTAAGGTGGGCAATAAGATTAGTCTTTACAGAAAACCCCTTATCACACTGAGAACACTTAAATGGTTTCTCTCCTGTATGTGTTCTAAGGTGGTTAGTAAATATAGTCTTTCGAGAAAATGTCTTATCACAATTGGGACACTTAAAGGGTTTCTCTCCTGTATGTGTTCTAAGGTGGGCAGTAAAATTTACAGAAAACCCCTTATCACACTGAGAACACTTAAATGGTTTCTCTCCTGTATGTGTTCTAAGGTGACGAGTAAGATTATTCTTTTCAGGAAATTCTTTATCACACTTGGCACATCGATAAGGCTTTTCTCCACTGTGTGTTCTTAAATGGGTAGTAAGATAACTTTGGCAAGTAAAAACCTTATCACACTGGGAACACTTAAAGGTTTTCTCTCCTGTATGTGCTCTAAGTTGGGCAGTAAGATTAGTCTTTACAGAAAATATCTTATCACACTGGGAACACTTAAATGGTTTCTCTCCTGTATGTGTTCTAAGGTGTCTAATAAGGTGACTTCTTTCAGAAAAACCCTTTTCACAATAGAAACAGTGAAAAGGCTTTTCTCCTGTATGCAACCTTAGATGCTTTCCTAGATTACTTTGGGAAGTAAAAGCCTTGTCACACTGGGAAAAGATGAAAGGTTTCTCTTGTGTATGTATTCTAAGGTGGCTAGTAAGCTCATTCTTTTGAGAAAACGTCTTATCACAATGGGAACTTCGTTGAGGCTTTTTGTTGAGGCTGTGTGTTCTTAAATGTCTAGTAAGGTTACTTCTTTGAGAAAAACTCTCATCACACTGGGAACATTTGAAGGGTTTCTATCCTGTATGTCTTCTACGGTGGCTAGTAAGAATATTCTTTTGAGAAAATGTCTTATCACAATGGGGACACTTAAAGGGTTTCTCTCCTGTATGTGTTCTAAGGTGGTTAGTAAGAAAAGTCTTTCGAGAAAATGTCTTATCACAATGGGGACACTTAAAGGGTTTCTCTCCTGTATGTGTTCTAAGGTGGTTAGTAAGAGTAGTCTTTCGAGAAAATGTCTTATCACAATGGGGACACTTAAAGGGTTTCTCTCCTGTATGTGTTCTTAAATGGGTAGTAAGATTACTCTGGAAAGTAAAAACTTCATCACACTTGGAACACTTAAAGGGTTTCTCTCCTGTATGTGTTTTAAGATGGGCAGTAAGATTAGTCTTTACAGAAAAACCCTTATCACACTGGGAACATTTAAAGGGTTTCTCTCCTGTATGTGTTCTAAGGTGGGCAGTAAGACTAGTCTTTACAGAAAACCCCTTATCACACTGAGAACACTTAAATGGTTTCTCTCCTGTATGTGTTCTAAGGTGGACAGTAAGAGTAGTCTTTACAGAAAACCCCTTATCACACTGAGAACACTTAAATGGTTTCTCTCCTGTATGTGTTCTAAGGTGGTTAGTAAGAATAGTCTTTACAGAAAATCCCTTATCACACTGAGAACACTTAAATGGTTTCCCTCCTGTATGTGTTCTAAGGTGACGAGTAAGTTTGCTCTTTTCAGAAAATCCTTTATCACAATTGGGACATCGATAAGGCTTTTCTCCACTGTTGAAAATTTTCCCTCCAGTTTGTGTTCTAAGGTGGCTTCTTAGCTCATACTCGCCCTGGTGTGTTTTCTGATGTAGTATAAGAGTGTTCTCATCAGTAAATGTCTTACTGCAATGTAAACACAGATGGGACTTCTCTCCACTGCATGATGTTATATGTGGGTGTATATTGTCTTGTCCATTGTCCAACTCTGGGGAGGAAAAGAAAGTTATTACATCCCTATTGAAGAGAAGATCTAGCTCTGATAAGTGCCAAAATTAAAATCACTGTAGAGTAAAGAAATATCACAAGGCGTATCCGGTCTGCCTAGATGCAGACTATCACGAAATGGTTAAATCCTTCAATGCAGTCAACTTCGCACACATCGATTTTGACAGGATACATTTAAAAATTTGATATGTGTGTAAGTCAAAGAAAATGAATTAAACCATATCTGGTCCCAAACAGAACTCAGGAACTTGCCAGCAGTTTTGTTAATATTATAGTTTTTATCCAAACTCGGTTTAAACTGTTGTGCAGACATCCAGAAAATAAGAAAGTTAAGGGTACTTTTTTTTCCATTTACACGGTATATGACTGCAGACTCATGTTAAAACTTGGGACAATAAAATTACTTTCTACAAGAATATGTTGCCAATAAGGAGGAAGAGAACTGCAAAATCTGTTTAGCATAATGAATGAATGGGTACTGAATACGGAATGGTAACACTTATGAATCAATGATATTGAATTTAGCTATCATTCTTGTGCAGACTGTTGATAGATATTATTGGATCTTCGAAATAATCTACTATGGTCCCATACTTGATGAAACGTTTAGTGAACTGCGTACATGCATTGAATTCTAATACCGGTGTGATAATCTTGATTGTATGACGTGGTAATTAGTGTTGACCCTAGGGCTAGGCCAGCTAGTAGTACTACAGTGCCTCCCAAACAGACAGCAATAGCATAAAGCTATGAAGGAGCTCCTAGACAGGACTCCAAGGAGGCACTCTCGAACAATGGTAGTAGTAAAATTAGATGAAATCTCAAATAAGTTTGATGACATTTACCAGAAACTTGATCATCATGATCAACGCTTCATAACTATTGAAAGTCTCAGAAAGTCAGATATTAAAATAACTGAAGTTTATGATGAACTCGCAACAAATTTCAGTACCTTCGCACCTCATCAGAGAAGGCAAAATCAGCCTTGATGGATGTCGAGATGAAGGTGAATGAGAGGGAGACAGCCATCAAACATCTTCTAAGTAAACTGATACGAGCCTCAACAAAATGTCAAACCTGAAACGTCAAGTTAACAGATAGAGCAGTGTTCTCGAACAGCTGCAAAAGAATCTTTGGTCTCATAGAGAAGCGTGGAGAAAACACCAAATTGAATACTTTCATTTGTGAAGAAGGTACCGGTAAGCAAATTAAAGTTGATCTTCAGGAGCAAGATATAGACGGTAGCCATCGAGTTGGCGACCCTTCTTAAGCAACACGTAAAGGTGATCATCCAATTATAATTAAGCTTAAATCATATTGCAATTAAAGCCACAGTAATAATCGGGAGCGCCAGGAGTGTCAAGTCTGACCGATATGAGCTCAGCTTGAAGGTGTGGCAATCCTGTATACAATTTAATAATTCCTATATATACAAGGTGAGGATTGGGATGGGATGAAATAAAATGTATTATAAGGTGACAGGAGATGGTTAATAGAATGATAAATAATAATAATAATAATAATAATAATAACTAGACTTTAATTCGTCCCTTTGACGAATTAGGTGATACGTGCTATTTTGTTATCATGAAAGTGTGCCGATGATGATCTAATGATAATGATCATAAATACGATAAAGACCATGATTAAGAGTGGTATAGCGCCCCCTTCAGGTATTCGATAGAGATTTGTAGAATCAGGATTTCAGAAAAAGTCGCCTAACACGCTAACTAAGAAAATTCTGACATGTCGCCTTTAATTGAAATTTTCACTAAGATGATGTCATCGAAATGATAAATGATGTACGTCAATATTGTAGATAATTTATTAGCTACACCGTATCAAAATTTGCGAGAACATAGAGTACTCATAAGCTAGATAGTGCTCAACGATCAATGTCATGAAGATTCATGATGTGAACGAAATTCACCTTCCTTAGGCATAACACGCAAATTAAGAAAATTCTGAAACGTGGCCTTTAATTGAATTTTGTACTATGATGACGTCAATGAAATAAAAAGTAGTGTGTATTTATCTTGAAGGCAATTGCCTCAACTACAAGATACCGACATTTGGAAGAAAATCAGTCAATATTATGAGAAATACACTAAATTTTCCATAAATATAATGACGTCATAATATGCAATTTTGTATTTTGACTTTCAAGGCCATTATGATGACGTCAAGATGTATTTGATGGCCTAATAAGATATGAAATCATATCTCCGACTCATACTGTTTCTAAATATGAAACAAAAATGGCAGTCCTTATTCATCCCGATGTACTTTTTATAGGCATGTTTTTGCCCATATATGCTATGTAATACATGACCTCGCGCGCGCGGATATTTATCTTGGACGGACGCTCATTCCGTTACTTATAGTGATAAAGAGATGAACATGGGAGGCAGTGACAGAAGGAGACAGATCAAGAGAAGAAGAGGGAAAGGGAAACAGTGAGAGGGAGAGGGTGAAAGTGTAAGAGAGAAGGAGAGGACAAGAGAGATGAAGATGAGAGAGAGCAAGAGAAGGAGAGGGGCAGAACAAGTCTAGGTGAAGGGAGACAGAGCAAGAGAAAAAGAGAGAGAGGGGGAGAGATGCAATTGATAAAAATGCCTTTAATATTTCTAGCATAAATAGCTAGGCTCTTAAATTACGATCATGACAGTGTGCCGAAACTGCCGATGATGGTATAATGATAATGTTCATGCATACGATAATGACGATATTGATGATGATGAAGATGCCATGATTAAAAGTGGTATAGCGCCCCCTTCAGGTATTCGATTGAGGATTGTTATATATGATAACTGACATGTCACCTATATGATTGAATTTTTTACTATGACAACGTCGTGATAATGTTAAATAGTCTACATAAATTTTGTGGAAACTTTTCGTAGCTACAACATACTCAAAAATCAACAAAATCCAAGGAGAAATAACGGCGATATCGCTCAAAAAGACAGAAATGTAGAATCCAGATTTGAGGAAAAAGTCATCTCCCATAGGGATTACACCCCAAAAGTTATAGATTAAGTGTAAATAGGGTAATAATAAAGTAAATAGGGTTGTTTATTACATTATTTGCGATTCTATGTGTTTTAATAATTAAAGGAGATGGTACAGTGAAAGGTCAAAAAGAAAAAAAAAGGAAAGAAAAAAATTGTTGGAGACGCCCGGACTCGAACCAGGGATCTCAAGGTCAGAAGTCAAGTGCGTTACCGATATACCAAAACATTTCCCATAGCGATTACACGTAAACGGAAAATTGAATTCTCAAATCCCACTTTGCAAGTGAAATATGAGCATGATCCCGGCTTATTGTCTCAGTTACCTAATCCAAAGCTCAGCAAAAACAAAGCTAAAACAAGGGAGATATTGCTCGCGAAAGACAGAAATGTAGAATCCAGTTTTGAGAAAAAGTCATGTCCCATGACAAAATGCAAAATGTGAAAAATTGACATGCCTCCTTTAATCGCAAAAATACGCCATGATGCTTTTGTCAAAATGAAAAATTGTGGAGACTGAATTTGTAGACAATTGTCTCAGCTAGAACATTTAAAAATGTGGATGAAAAACAATCAAAATTTACAGAGATACAATCGATTTTCAAAAAATATGCAAACGTCATAATATGCAAATTAAAATTTTGAGTTTGGAGGCCATTATGATGACATTATGAGTTAATTGAGGGTCAAATGAGACATGAAATCTTATTTCCAACTCATCATCTATCCACATATGAAAAAATATTGGGAGTTTCTATCTATTCTGAAGAGTTACAATGAATTTTGTATAGGCATGATTTTGCCCATGTATTGTGGATAAAGATAACGCAGATCCGCGCGTGCTGCCAACTTTGACGGACGCTCATTGCGTTATTAAAAGGTGAACAAGTTATTAAAATGCTTGGAAAAATGTGCCAAATATGATGACAGAGAAAATTCAGCGATTCTATGTTGCAAAATGCTAGTACGCGCGGAAACGCGCACAAATGTGCGTGTGCGCGATTTTTTTTGCGAAATGCTTTAAATGGCCTGAAACGTATGCAAAAAAATTTGAAGACGATTTAGAGCATTTTAAATGCGCGTTAATGCGCGCGCACAAGCGCGTACACGCGCGTTTTGCGCACGTTTTTTGACCTGAAGTTGACTGGACGGATACTGATCTTAATCATGACAAATATGAATGAAAAATTATTTTCCGTTATGAAGATATGATCATAAGTTGATTTTCACAAAATGGCACCTGGATGACGTCACGATGACTGAGTCTTTGAAAAGTCACGCAGTTCTAAGTTAGACTAAGATCTATCATCAGTGAAAGTTTCATGACAATGGCTTTATTTAGTCTTGAGATATCCTGCGAACAAAATCGAGGAAGAATAATAGGAATAATAATAAAAATCTTGACGAAATCAAAAGGTGATACGTTGACTTCGTTACGTATCACCTAATAATACTGTAAACTTAAAGAGCGCACACACCGTCCGGGGACGCTCATGGCGCTAGCTCAGCAACAGTTCTTTTGATACAAGTAAAGTACACAATTTTGCAATATTCATTTATTTAACCCATTTAAATCCTCAGCTCTAGTGCCCGGTGGGGCACGGTGCCCTCCAGCTGTTATGTTGACGTTCACTGATAATTTAAGGGACTCGCCCAGTCAGCACATTATTCACAAGAGCTCTAGCATCTGAGGCCACCAGGCCCCACACGGGCAGCCAATGAGACTACCGTAAAGGGTGATAACTAATTAATTTCAGATGTATATACAAATAACATATCAATTATGGATTTAGTAAAATAAATGTCATCAGCATAACAATGATACTTTATATTATGCTTTCTAATTATTGTACTGATTGGCTCAAGGTAGACAGAAAACATTAACGGGCCACCAACGGACCCTTGTGGCTACCGGTATATGAAATATAAGTTTTGTCAGATTGAGAATTATTTACATTTTACAGAGACATGGGTTCTTTTATGATGAAAACTGGGTTCTTTTATGATGAAAACCAATGCAACGCAGTGCCTGTTACCCCAAGAGACTGTAGTATTGTGTGGTCAATAGTGTCAAAAGTACTTGACAAGAAAAGTAACGTTACCTTTATCCATTTCAGAGAGGATACTGTCCACAAGATTAGTTAGCAGCGTTTCCACACTATGGTGCGGGCGGTAGGCAGATTGTAAATTATCAATTAAATTATTTTCAATAAGATATGTGCGCAGACGTGAGAAAGCCACTCATTCTGTGAGTTTGGACAGATATCACAAATTTGAGATAGGTCTATAGTTCTGGAGACACTCACTATCCAAATAAGTTTTTTTCAAGGTGGGGCGCACTGCTGCAATCTTCATACTGTCAGGAACTATCCCTGAACCAAGACTTGTGTTAATTATAGTTACAATTGATGGTATAATAGCAGGAAGACATTGTTTCAAAAGCAATGTTGGTATTGGCCAGGTCAAGTTCACTGGATTTAGAAGGTGAACTCATTATGATTGACCTAATCTCATCAGGAGTTGTTGGAGATAGCGTATCTAGTGTCTTCTCTGTAATCAAAGGAATTTCAAACCCTCCGATATTAGTAAGAGCTGACCTAACATTCTGAATTTTTTTCACAAAGAAATTGTTAGACGATCTGCAAGATTTACATAAGTAGGAAGGGGAGATTTTGTACATCTGTTAAGTAGAACATTTGCAACTCTAAAAAGCTGTCTTGTACTTGTGCAGCTTTCAACCAGCATAGAGAACCGAAGCTATGACGTCATAAACATCTGTTTTTAGAATTTCTCAATTTTTTCTTCATTTTCCGAAGGAGCTTCAGAAATAATGTCCAAACGTCGAAAACCAGTTGAAGAAGCCAGAGCATATAACACTGAGTTCCCATGGGACATATATTTATTCAGATGGTCATATCTCAGCCAATACTTAACATATTTAATTGGTTTTCAACATTTGTACATTATTTTTGATGCTCTTTCGGAAAATGAAGAAAAATTGTGAAATTCTAAAATTAG